GCAATTATCCTCTTGACGTTGGTGTGATTAAGTAAAGCATATGTGAAAAATCCATAACCTTTTTTTAATGATTTGATGTTAAACCGATTTCACAATTAACGGTAAGTTGTTCACTCGGATAACAAACCAGGATTTATCTCTATCACCGTGGAGTTATCGGGAATTTGCACTGTTCTAGCTAAATCGACTGAATTTTTTGTTAAAAAGCGATTGAGGCACATAAAATCATGATCGATGAGATTTGTGATTCATTGATGATTGCAAATGAGACAGATCTACGAACCGGCAGATTTCACATCGATTAAAGATGTCCGATTATTTTTTAATGTTTGACTTAACACCCTTGGAACCCACATTCATGAAAAAATTCTATAAAAAGTGTTATTTCCTGTTTTGGAATTTATTACTGGAAAAAAAAAAAAATTACCTAGTTTTTATTAATTCCATAATTTACCAATTTCTGGAATATTCCGATCGATGTTAAATTGAGCTGATTGGTCGATCATTTTATCAACCTCTAATTCATGTGAAATGGCTTCTTCGAAAGGTACGGACAAGGTTTTGGAAAAAATCAATGAATCCGTCGAATCCGGAAATTACTATGAGGCACACCAAATGTACCGCACAGTTTGTAGGCGGTAGGTAAAATTTTTTGTGGACCTTAAAGTCACCGTGAAGATAGCCCAACTGATAGTCAACTCTTTACTTTTTCCTCAAGATATGCGAAGCAAAAAAAGTACAATGACGCTATAAACCTCTTATTTCCCGGAGTTCAAATCTTATTGAAACACATGCAAAGCGGCAGCGGATCCGATTTAACATTGTACATGATTGACGTGTACAATGAAGCGGAACTGCAAGTTTCCGATGAGTCCAGAGGTTTGTTACTGTTAATGCCAATCAACAGGATTCACGTGTTAATCTGTTTGTTTCGTTTTTAATAAAGACCGAATTATTCAATTGTTGGAGCTATTTCCACCGGATGAACCTGGTCGCAAGAGGGTCATCGATTCGGCTATCAGGTGAACAGAGCAGTTTCGTGAGTTTCTTTGGAACCAATCGCACATCTATTTTGGTTTCATTTTCACCTTTTTTCATTATCAGTTGGTCAACCAAATTTGGAGAGAATCCGGCTGGTGATCCAAAATTACATCAATTTGTTGCAGAATTGTTATGGAAAGGTAGCGATCCTATGTTGTTTCTTCCGTAAATTTGCACTACCGTATGTTAATTTAACTACAATTGAATAGATAAAAAGTATTCCGATGCGGAACCACATTTTCTTGCCGGTGCGTCGGACAGCAGTAAATTATACGGGAGGATGTTGGTTGAATGGTCGGAACAAGATCATCCATCCAAGAGAGGCGCCTATATTGCCCGTGCGGTGCTACAGTATGTTTTCCGACAATTTTAGTCGCCTATTTGATTTTATCCTTGGTCTGGGTGTCACACTTACTAAGAATGACCGTAGGTATTTGTGCTTACGAAGCATCCGTGATGCAAAGATAGCGTTTGAAAGTTTCATTTCAGAAGTTTGCTTGAAAGATCCAAGCCTAAAGGCGGAAAACGTTCCATATCGTCCAACGATGACTGGTGACCCTGTCGATGTGACAACCTATAGGTTGCCATTGTTAAACTTTTTGCAATTGTTAATACTAACGGTTCAACGAGAAGCTTCAGATTTATTTGTCACCCTTCGTAACAAATATAAAAGTGTTTTATCCGTTGAGCCTATGTTTGAAGACGTAAGAAAGAGGAATATCTTTAATACTTCTTGTCTGTTGATGTTTTCATTTCAGTATTTAACAAGTTTTGAACAACTCATAGCTATTAAACAAGATTGGTGAAACGTTCTTTAACATAAGGGCATTAAGACCACCGCAATTTAATATCTTCCAAGATATCATGAACAGTTTACTCGCACCACCAGGTGGTGGATCATCATCTCCTGCGGGGACTTCTCACACGAGAACCAATCTCCAGAATGATTTATTGTAATCAGATGTTGTCGCTGAGAATGTTGTTCATTTTAATTTTATTTTATTTTATTTTATTTTATTGATACATCGTATAATAATGCATTCTGTATTAGTGTAGTCAGATCACAAATAAACAACTGCAATCTATTTCGTTCCATTCATTCTTAATTCAAACATAAAAATCTGAAAGGTTATTGACAGAACATCATCTCGTGAAGAATGATAGCTACCTTGAATAACGAATATCCGTTGGATAGGTAATACACACAAAAACTGACAATTATTATTACATAAAGACTAATCGATGCAAAGTTCTACCATCACAATCAAAATTTATTATTAACCATTTTAGCTCATCTCTGTCGTACGGATTTCACGTGATTCCATCGCTTAACAAAATGGAGTGACATTTCACGTACCATGGTTTCCCGAATCCCTCTTTGACAATGAATGACTCGGACTTTTCGCCTTCAGCGCAAAGTACGTTGGTTGTGTTTGTCCCGAGCGTTTTATTGCCAACTGAGCTAACCCGTTGAAATTACCGAAAATTCTCTAGAGGATGAGTTCTTCGCGGAAATGACCGTTAAACAAGTTAAACCATCCCAGCTACGATTTTCAACCACTTCCAGTTCTCCTGAACGTTCTCAGCATGAGAGTCCAAGATTAGGTTGGTTACTGACTTGCCTTTTATTCTCAAAAAAACTTTTTCTTTAATGAAAAGTTGTCAGAACAAATAATATGAACAATGTTGACCCAAGGTTATCATCGTTAAGATGCATGGAATTATCTCATTCATTGATTATCTACAGCATTCACCACAAAATTATCGATGATTTTTATGTGATTGACGCGAAATCTACGCGATCCTAACTAACCCTTATGATTAATTGCTCATGTGACCTAAATATTGGGCCTTACGTATTTGGTACGCATAATGACTCATGCGCGACAATTTTCCATTTCTAAAAATAGTAAATTCGATGGTTGCTACTCCATCAAAATCGGGTCAATTCTCTGAAATTTCATTGGAATCCAATGTTTCTCCTTTCGACTCGTCATCCAACGCAACGACAGCATCGGCATTTGGTTTCATCGGGAATGCTGGTGAGAAGGAAGAGCAAGATTATATTTTTGTGAAATTGTTATTATTTTCATTATAGGCTGATTCAAACTCTTGATCATACCATGCAAAGAAAGCAAGAGGTCTGACCAAGTTATAAGAACTAACTCCATCTCGAATACTTCGCCTCGGGGTAAGAATGTCGCGCTCTCAACTGACACAACTCTCGATCAACTATCCACGGGAGGTTTGTAATGCAACCTGTTAAAAACCTTGAATTTTAACTATTCGTATTCTGATGTGTGCTCCCGTAATTTCGCTTTGGAACGTGTTTACTTATTAGCCTTTGTGGTTCCAAATAATGGGTTACCTAACCAATCATTTCAATCACCGTCTCAGATCCACCCAATGTCACAGCATTTAAGTTTGAATAAGACACGGCGTGTGGTACATAAGACTAACAAAGTTTCTTTGGCGGAACTCAATATTGACACCGACACCGAACGTTCATCATTGACGAGTGTGAACAATGGATCGTCGTCAATCTTTTCATTATTGAATTCGCCGCCACTATCTGCAAAAATAAGGATGGAAAATTTAGAAGTGGAACTCTCAAGGATGGAGGGCGAAATGCATCAGATCATGGACTCTCAACTTAAAATCTTTCAAAAGCGCAACAAAATTCACGAACAGTTGGCTGAGGTGTGTAAAGTTTGCGAATTGTTGAGTTTCTTCTGAATGAACTGATCTGATAGCAGCAACACATTGATTTTAGTCATGGGGAACATTGAGATTGCTTGAAATCGAACAATCAGATGCACTTTCTAGCGAAGATTACATTCAAGCTGATAAGGTGATGCACGAGGTACAGGAGACGCATAATAAAATCATAACGCTATGTAGGGTGCTCCCTGGAATGGAGCAGGCGTTAAGTAAATTGAGAGAAAGACAGGCTCGTAATTTAAAGAGTCAAGCGGACATAAGTAGATCGTTAGAAAAGGAGCTTTGGAAAAAGAAGGTGGATATGATTATTATTTGTGTAATTTTTTTTTTTTTTTGTAAACTAATTTAATTAACAACACTTTTCAGAAAGAAGACGAAGATGCCTATAAACAGTATGATGCTGATATGGAAAATTTAAGAAACATAGAAACTAAACAAATTAACGAAATGAGAGAACAACTTGAAAGGGATCGCAGGTTTTTATTCGTTTTTGTTTATGCATCTGTAATTTTGTTGATTAGGAAGGAGTTGGTCGATAACACCCAACTTCATGATCTATTCTTCATAATTTAGTGAGATTGTCTTGGAATTAGATCTCTGGAATAAGAATGTAGCGGATTTGAATGAGAGGATGGATGAGCGTGCGTGTGACGAAAAGTCGGAACGGGAATCGCTGTACAAAAAACGCGAATATATTCGAGTAAGCTGTGTTTCAAATTCTCTCTGGCTTAGTGTTGTTATGGTTCATTCTAAGCAAGAAATTTTGTTAAACCCCTTAGTCAAGATCTCTTCGAATGTGATAAATTAAACTTAAATGACACATCAAATTCTCGCTTCTTCATAATAGGCGCAAATAGCCGATCTTTCAAAACGAATCGAGCAACTTCGTACCGAAGAGGAAAGCTATAATCGAAAAATTGGTGATGTTGAATTAAAAATGGAGGGCATTTATAACGAATTCCATGTTGAAAGAGAAGAAAATTCTAGAGAAAAAAAAGAATTGGAGAGAAAGGAACGTGAAATTGAAGACAAAACGGTACATGATTATCTTTTCAACGTCCTCTAAGCCAGATATAATGAATGGTGTTCATATTATTAAATTCCCTAATTTTTTTTTTTTTTTTAAAAAAAAAAAGAGAAAAGTCGAGGAATCAGAAAATAATTTACATCAGAGGCTCAACCATTATCGTCAGAAACAGGAGTTGGCACATTCTGAGTTGTCATCATTGGAACAGCGTATTGGTGAAATGGTTCTGGTCGCTAAAATTCACCACGAGGAAGCTGCTGAAATTGAAAAATTAATTGAAAACCTTAGGGATCGTTCTCAAAGGGATTTAGATTGTGATAATGTGCTATCCGAGTGAGTATGATTTTTTTAAAAAGTTTGATGTTTGTGCGATAAATAGATGTTTATTAACTCGGTGATAATTTAGTTTGCGAAGACAAATCGAGGAAAGTGAAGGCGAAGTTAAGCGATTGACTTCCAAAGTGATGCAGGACCAGCAAACATATTCAACTATACAGCAGGATATGACTACCATTGACACTCAGATTCCGGCGTTGGAAGAACAAAAAAAGTTGGCGGTAGCTGGTAAACATCATGGTTCAGTTGAAATCGTTAAAAACAACTGTTACTCATTTGGTAACGTTTAGGACGAGATTTTAAGTCTGCAGGTCGTCTGGCCGGCCGAATCAAGGACCTTCAATCCTTACGCGAAGAGCGTGTAAAGTTCTTGGAATCCAAACGTTCGAGTTTAGAACGTGATCAGGAGGATCTGAAGACATCTAGACAAAAATTGGAGGAGCTTTCTTCCAACTTGACCGAGATGGAAAAAAAAATTGGTAAAACAATAAGTTGAACTATTTGGTTTTCAAGGAATTAATTTGATACGATGCTTAACACGGTAATTTGAAATATTAGGCTCAGAATTATGTGAAGAACTACAAGAATCACTTCTTCAGCTACGATCAAGATACGATGTGTATGTAAGCGTTTGAAAACCTCTATAGGATTTCTACTGCAGAATTTCTCATTGCCTCTGGTGATCCAATTTCTAGTGCCAACCAACAAAATTTGAATATATTAAAAGACTTGTTACAGAATGAGATACAAGGGTTGGAACGTCGAATCCAATACATTCGTATGAGGTTCGGTCTTTTGGAGACAAAAATTCAAAGTGGTCATAGTGTAAACGAATTGCACGATAATGCACAGGAAGGTTCGGGTATGTGACCATGATTGTCTTTCCGTTAGCCCGTAATTCACTCGAGGATTCACGTTTTTTCTCCCCATAGACTCCACAACACGTCTCGAAGAGTTGGAGAGACGTGTGCAAAAAGCTATAGGCAATAATCCAGGATCGTTGTCTGTTGAACTACATAGAAAGAGCACTTAATTCATTCCTACAAACCAAAACCAGAATTTGGTGAATGTCGATCCTTTGATCACCATCCAATAATAATTAAGACAACTGACGACAAACTCGAGCAACTGATCATTTATTATGCTAAATTATTTATAAGGGAAATAGGACGTACGTCGATCATGATTTTTGTGGCGAGAGTATTCTCGGAAAAAAAACGATCCTTCCATTATCTTGTGAATTTATAATTATCAATATTTCTTTTTTTATTTTAAATGAGTATCGCTGCACAAGAGACGCAAGTGATTGCAATTTTCATGCTTATTCGATCGTCATCTCTTTCACTTCTATATTATCCATTATCTCATTGAATTTGTGGTCAAAGTCTCTCCGTAGTGTTATAACTTGTTGGTATAACGACATGTTCATCCCTTGAACATCGCGTATGATGCGAGCTACAAGTACAGGAATCATCGTCTTCGCGGTTCCATCGGTTAGACGTGATCGGATGTTTTGTGGAATTTGATTATACTTGGAAGTCATTCCTGTTCCTGGTGTATGCTGAATCATCAATGTTACGTCAAATAAATAGCCGTTTAAGTTTTACCGCTATAATAGCGCCACGGTCAAAACATACGTCAAATACCAAAGTTCCAATTAGTTCAACCATATTCCAATTATGACTTCTTTCAACCAAATTCGTATCCACCACCAGAAAATTTTCTTTGC